AAAATGTTGAACAATCTGCAAATCAAACATCTTATAGGTCTGGCCAACTTATAAATGTTTGAAGGGGAGTGGTAGCAGCACTATAACTACCCCTAAAAATAAAAATAAAATAACTACAAATCAAATAAACGAATAGTCACAAAACAAACATATTATTAAACTAATATATGTTTGAAGGGGAGTGTTAACATATATGGAATGACGCATATAAGCAACAGACGTACCTGAGACATAGCTACATATTATATATACCTACTGAATCAACAGACAATGATGCTAAGTAGAGCAAGCCGAGTCCACTATCCCCCCTCTTTGTGTGATCCCTCTAAGCCTCTCACATAACCCCTCCCAACAATAACATATTTAGAGCAGTGTACTTTAGTATGTTTATTGCAACCCGCCGCCTAAGGCGGTGAAATTTATTTAAAGGAAGCCCGCCATGTCAGACAACTTGGCTGGAAGTCACAATTAGAAACCAGGTATGCAAGGACGAGTACATGTCGCATTTGGAAATGAGGCAATGCAGATGGGCTAAGAAAGCGTCTGATTGATTTTGTGGCTGGCCCGGTGTCGACAGTCGGCAATATGATTATAATATTCTATAAACGCGCCCATTAATAATGAGTAAGACAGTAGTACTTCTGATTGTGGAGAAAGCGGACATTACATGGTTCACTAGGGGGTGCTAGAGTACCAATATCCCACATTGTATGCCATGATTAGTGTGTCCAGCCCACACAATACGTTGTACCGACCCGAGACTTCCGAGTCCTCACCGCCTGATTTCCACGGTTGCTTATGCCTCAACTCTGAGTCAACAGCGATCTCACGTCGATAAATCTTATACCGGCACACGTCCTTTATCACGAAATCAATGTAGCATTCTATTGTAGCATTCTATTGTAGCACTCTTCTTGTGAAAGTACATTAAATGATACAGAAGAAGTCTTTAGATACAGAAGACTGTCCTTCTGATATGCGGCATTCATTCGTTGTCAGACTCGTTTTGCGGAGAGAAATCATTCAGCTTTGAAACAGAAAACATCACGGAGGCGATGTCAAGCTCACCGATAGCTCTTCCGTCTCCTCCTCTCCATCCTCATTGAGAAAGTCCCACGATGCTTCGACTTGTTGCCATCTAATTATTGTTCAGTAGTCAGTACGCTGAAAATTACTAGATGTAATACTTTACTCTTCAACTTGATCTTCCTTGGGATCCAATGCTTGGTCCCTCCTTCCTGCACGGAAACCAACTTCTTTTATTTGATATAGTGGCGTAAACACAGGCTCGGAGTTGATAGCTTTTTGAAGAATTCCAGTAACACCCTCTGTTGTCCATATTACAGTAGCTCCAGCTCCGACGGTCACTCCAGGAGTCGCCAGATTCGAAGCATCTACATGTAAGCTAATGCTGACAGTCTCACTACCTGTTAAGCAAAATGTTAGTGGTTTATAATTAAATAAAGGATAATATGATTCTTTCATCATATTTACTTTTATCAGAAAGATAGAGAGCGTAAGCCTGGCAGTTGTGGACTTGTGTCACAACTTGTCGCCCTTTTGCCCAGCCAGAACTCCTCAGCTTTTCAAGTAGTTCGGGTGGAACTAATGTGATACGCTGTTTATGTATAAGGAGAAGTGCCCCACGTGAATAACTAAATCGCCATTGCCCTTCAAGCACTGGTTCAATAGTACCAAGAAACGTTCTGAGACATATGCGCGCGTGTTCTCATTTCTTTGTCTTACTTCTGGAGTTATAGTACTTACGCGTGCACCTCGGGACCAACCTTGACTTTTCTTGCATTCGTTGAAAGTATCTGGTAATCGTCAACCTCAGGTCCTGTCGCTGGCGGAAAGTTCGATGTGATGCCCCTAATCTCTTCTTCACGATAAATATTCCCGTGTCTCTCGAACTGGCCCGTAAGCCTGTTGATCGAGCCGTAATCGCCTGCCTGGTATAGTTATTGTACATGTCTGTGTGAATGTCCAAGTCAAAGGATTGCTGGACAAAAACTTACAGAGATAGGAATCGAAGGGTCCCAGTTCGCATACTTATCAGTTGCACTCTTGACAAGGTCGATGTATTTCTGCAATGCTCTTCCATTTCCCAGCATTGCAAACAACCACAGCAACGAGGTGAAGGCAGGTGAAGGCAGAAGGCAGAGTGGCATTGTACAGCGATTATATATAGACTGTATTGCCCAAGGTACAGTAATACAGTGCATAAATTTATTAATCTCATATTATACAAGGTTGACAGTACACGTAACACATACTTGCTGCATATACAATACGGGAACAGCCTAGACTTATGATCCGGATTCATGGTAAGACTAGGAACAACATAGTGCTTTGCTTTCTGGAGTGCATTCGTGAAGAATCAACTTCAATCGGTAACCTATAATACACATACGTCTGTGTATAGCTTTTCTGTCTTTAATTAGGAAACTTACATAGCTCATGCTGGTGGACTAAAGCGTGTTGTTGGGGTGATGTGCAGATGCTTTTTGGTATAGCAGAGAAGTGTGACCTTCCTAAACAGCAACTTGTATCCGAATACATTAAATGAACCCTGGATCCTGTAGAATTAAGCATAGAATTATTTGAGTAACACTGGCAGTGTGAAGTAATCAGATAGGGAAAGGACACCTAGTTTAGCCTTGTTATGGGGTCAGTAATCAGGGCTTAAGTGCAGTGCATCAATTTTATAACAAACCAATTACACATGCATGGGATGGATGCCACCCCAAGCAATGTTTGATAATAAGACATTGTGAATCTGGTCTACAGTAATAGCTATAGTAGTCAGATTACAGATGGTACATTACTGTCCAGGTTGCATATTGACATAAAAGTGTGGTAGGTTTGTGTTAAGAAAGGGGAAAGAGGTTATGTGAGAGGCTTAGAGGGATCACACAAAGAGGGGGGATAGTGGACTCGGCTTGCTCTCTTGCGGCTTGCTTCATTGTCCGTTGATTAGTTAGTCTATATATACTATGTAGGTATGTCTCAGATGTAGAATGTATGATGGAAGGTATTCCATCATCGTTCGTCATTGCTTGTAATGTAGTTTATATCATCTGAGACATACTCTCGTGTAGTCTTGTCTTAACACTCCCCTTCAAACTCTTACTAGGTCTAGTAGACTTGTAA